ATTTTGTGTGTGTGTGTGTGTGTGTGTGTGTGTGTGTGTGTGTGTGTGTGTGTGTGTGTGTGTGTGTGTGTGTGTGTGTGTGTGTGTGTGTGTGTGAGACGACCGTTACAAAGGACTGGATATCTATAAAGAATTAATCTTCTCATATTTATGAATAACATTTGAAGTTCTAAAGCAGCTGTGTCCTTGAAAAAGACGTGTTAGTGTCATTAGAAACTGAATTGAAAATAACGTTATTTTAATATAGTCAGTCGTCGATTGAGGTGGGCCAGTCTAATGCCGAGTTCAGACTGCATGATTTTCAAAGTAGTCGTGTCACGGATGTTTTCACACTGCATGACTATCTGGGCTTGCGTTTCGTCGCTGCTTTGTTTACACTGCAAGATGGATCGGCGACAGGGACTTTCACATTGCATGACTTTACTATAGGAAGAATCGCCGACAACTTCGTCCAAACTACGTCTCACAGCCAAAAACATGTAATATATCTTTTGTTATTAACTACATAATGAGAAAGAAGCCTTTAATGGGGTTGAACATGTACATGTTTGCTCACCTGGGTTTAAAGGGAATTAGCCATTTCTCCTCAACATTGATAATAAACTAATTTCTTTCTGTATGAAACGTCAAACAGACACGGTTGCTCCTGAGTCCTGTCAAACCTTCACTAGTTTTTCCTCCATTTCGTGGGTCCAAATAAACCGAAAATGAGCACTTTTATTTTTTCCCCTAGCCTCCCGCTGGCTTGCAGCAGGTTTACACACACGCACACACAAGTGAATGCTGCTCTCTCATTGGCTGTAGGCGATCGCTGATGTTATTTTCAGTCAAAACTCAATTCACACGGCATGATTTGAATCGCCGACAGCTCCAGATATTCAGCACGCCAAATATCTTGCAGGCATCGGCGACTCATCGGCGATTCTCTCAGATCGCGTCTTTGATCGTTCATACTGTGTGATTGTCACTCACGTGCACGAGCAGCGATTTGCCTGTGATTTCAGGCATTTGTCGGCGATTTCTCAAAACCTGTCGGCGAGCCAAAATCAGGGCTAAAATCACGCAGTCTGAACTAGGCATTAGGCTTGAAACTCCAGAGCAAAAAAGGAGTCCCACTTCGGCCCTGGCTTTGTCCCTGTTTTATCAGGTGTTACCACCGTGGAATGAACCGCCACTTACTTGACAGTGGTTTTTATATTTCAGGTGGTTTGTGTAATGTGTTTTATGTTTGGAAAAATAATCTCTAGTTGCATCTTTAGTGATTTTCAGCTAATTACACTGTCTTGTCTCAATAGTTGGATTTAGAGGTTTTTGCATAAAAAGCAGACGCTGGTTTTGACGCAAAAGAAAATCTACCTTGTTAAAAACCAAAGAATTGTCTAAAGTGACATTTATGAAAAAAAAGGCATTTTATTTACCAGCTAATAACCTTTTTATTACATATAAAATGAAACTTCTGAACCTAATCAGAGGAGCCTGATAGAAAATGCTCATTTACAAGAGGTCTGATGGATTTAGAGGGCTTTGCATCTGAACTCTTCATATGTCTTTCATTGTGTAGCATTAGTATTTGATATTATGTAAAAATATAAATAAAATATGAAATAAATAATAAATAAATAATATATAAAATATATTAATACTACTGGAAGATTTCAGAGTCGACAGAATTCGGTGCGCTATCCCTGTGTGACCTTTGACCCTATTTGTGTTTGTGTGATTGTGTGTGAGTCTATGTAAATGTGTCTACGAGTGTATGAGTCTTTCTGTTTGTGTATATGTGAGTATGTGTGTGTGTGTGTCTGTCTGCTTGTTTCTGTGTGTCTATGTGTCTGTCTGTGTGTCTATGTGTGTGTGTGGGGTTGCAGTGATTGTGCTGCAGCCCTGCTTGTCTCTGGAGTCTCTGCACTGCTGCAAGGACAGGAGACGACGCTGAAATTCAATTAGCAATAAAACCCTGCACTGTTCCCTACACGCGCTCACACACACACACACACACACACACACACACACACACACACACACACACACACACTTTCCTCTTTAAGTGATGGGTTTGTGCCAGCAGGTTAAAACAAATGCGACATTGCAGAAGTGCTTGACACACACACAGAGAGACAACTGGCCCATCTGACTGACTGTGTGTGTCATCATCTCAGTTTTAAAGCACACAAAGCAGTTGTGTATGTGTGTGCGCATGTGATTTGACCTGTGTGTGTGTGTGTGTGTGTATAATAATGAGTTTCTCAGAGAGAGAAAGAGTGTGCATGTGTGTCTGTCTGTTGCGTGTGTGTCTGTCTGTTTGTGTCTCTCTGTGTGTGAGAGAGTGTGTTTGAGTGTGTCTGTATGTGTGTAAGAGTAAGTATGTCTATCTTTGTGTATGAGAGTGTTCTTTGTGTGGGTCTACGTGTGTGTATCTTTCTGTGTCTGTATGTGTGTGTGTGTGTGTGTGTGTGCACGTGAGTATGTGTCTTTATGTTTTTGTGTGTGTGTGTGTGTGTGTGTGTGTGTGTGTCTATGTGTGCAGAAGTGCTTGAAGAGACGCACACAGATACAACCAGGCCATCTGACTGACTGTGTGTCATCATCTCAGTTTAAAGAACTCAAAGTGTGTGTGTGTGTGTGTGTGTGTGTGTGTGTGTGTGTGTGTGTGTGTGTGTGTGTGTGTGTGCAGAAGTGCTTGAAGAGACACTGTGTGTCATCATCTCAGTTTAAAAAACTCAAACTGTGTGTGTGTGTGTGTGTGTGTGTGTGTGTGCGTGTGTGTGTGTGTGTGTGTGTGATTCTGAGACAGACCACACAGAATTATATATTTCATTGAGTCTCTTGAGGGATACCACACACACTTCTGCACACTACCGGCTCTTCTGTAAGTCCCTTTAGATAAAAGCATCTGCTAAAAGCATAAATGAGCGTCTTCAGCATCAGAGCTTCCAGGGCCAGCGTGTCCTAGGATGGCAGAATAGTGAGGGTGGCGTCCGCGAACCCCCCAGTCCTCACTTTCAACCGCCACACCACCCTACTGTGTGACCCTAGTGATAACTACTATGTACAAAATATCATTACAATTTTGCAAAGTAAAAAAAAACACCCAAAAACATTTTATTTTAAGTAGCAATTCTCATTATTAAAGGGCACCTATGGTGAAAAATCTACTTATCAAGCTGTTTGGACAGACATATGTGTAAGTATAGTGTATAGACCGTCATATTGGGCTGATATAAACACACCCAATTTTTTTTTTCAATTTAACAACATAAAAACGGTGGACCAATTGGATCGGTTTTCAGACCAACCGCAACTTGACATAGCTGTGCGGTCCCCCCGCCCACCGAATTGATTGACAGCTTCCCGTAGCATGTCCCGGTAAGCAAGCTGAACTGCCGCTCTGCGAGGGAGCTGTCGCGGACGCCGGCCTCTCTATTCTGCCGCCCTAGGTGGCCGCCTAGGTCGCTTCTATGGACACGCTGGCACTGGGTAAAGTTCTTACTGTAGTATTTCTCACAAACGCTACGTGAGATCTTCTTCCTAAGTCTGTCTGTCTGTTGTCTGACGCAGCCAGGGGAGGAGATTAAGGCACGCAGAAAGGTACGTAGAAACGGTGGGCAGGGCGGACTATCCTTAAAGCCTGGTTTATACTTCTGCGTCAAGTGACCGGCGTAACCCACGGCACATGCAACGCGCGCAGCTGTGCATTTATACTTCTGCGCGCTGTCTCTGTTGGTCTGCATTAACACTTCTGAAACGCTAGTTGGGAGTAAGGTGTAAATTTTCCTCTGTGTCGAGTTTCTTCACTGCTGTTTTGCTTTTCCTGAACACTTCCGGGCTGTACAAGTGGCTCAAACTCACTCATTTTGAGGCAGGAACCGGCTGACGTGCAACAACTTTAACTATGAGGTAAACACAAAACAAAACTTTCCATCCGGAGCTCCTTAACGGGACTCCACACTTGTAAACAATCGCTCCACCGGGCTCGCACAATTCGCCCGGCTCTCGGTCCCGCCCAGACTCGTCAGCGCTACCAAGCCGACCAATCACAGAGGTTGCGCTATGCGTCGTTGCAACGTGTAGTTACATTTTTTTGAGAGGTGCACATCAACGACGCCGACGGCCACGGCGTAGGGCTATGCGTCAACGCCGCAGCATACACATGCGCTTGACGCAGAAGTATAAATCAGCTTTAAGGCCCAGTACGACTAAACAGCCCCCTGGTGGAAAACTGTTTAAAAAGGATCTTGTAAAAGGTATAATGAAAAATCCGATGGGTGTTTTGAGCTGAAACTTTACAGACACATTCTGGAGACGCAAAACACTTATATTAAATCTGAAAAAAGGGGTAACCTAGGTGCCCTTTAACTAGTGATTTTTACCTGCCTACTATTAAGATATCTGCTGTGTTTATTAGTATTCATAAAGTACATATTCTGCATGATCTTATTTTAGATATCTAATACCTCAACCCAACTACTACCTTGATAACTATTAATAAGCAGCAAATTAAGCTTTTTTTGAGGCAAAAGTCACAGCTAATGGTTTCTTAATAGTGATAATTGTACCTTAAATTGAAGCCTAACCAAAATACTTTATAATTAGACTGTAGAAAATCCAGTCTAAACAACCCCCCACCCCCCCACCCCCTGTTTCTTCCAGCCCCCCCTGCCATCTCACGAGACATTGACTATGTCAAAATCCACCACAGAGTGAAGTGAAAGTGTAGCGGGAAGAAAAAGTTTTACATTTCAAAAAAATTTCAATATGGCTTCCAAACCATCATCAGCAAAGTAAAGATGATGATGGACTGCGTTATCTGAACTCACCCGAATCCCGAGAGCATCCTGCAGAAGAGGAAGGTGCTGTATCCCTGAACGAAGGACGACAGGAAGGCGAAGAATCCATTGACTGACATACAGACCAGCAGACACTGACGGCGGCCCACTTTATCTGACAGACCACCCCAGAAAAACGCCCCCACCATCATCCCCAGATACACCACACTGCCTGCAGACACACAAAAGAGAAATGGGACTTTAACATCAGTGAAATTCCATACAAACGTCAAACAAGAGAAAAAAAAAGTTTCCACCAAAATAGCAAAACTCTTTGTTCATTGTTTGTTTAGGCTTGTACTGTACTGCAAAAACACTCATAAATGTCTCAGTCAATGTCTTCAAACTATTATATCTGATTTAAGTCACACAAGTGCCAATTTCACATCTGTCACATCCATAACAGAGGGATGTCACATCCATAACCAAGCCTTTCCCTTATAAATGCAAAAATATTAATGTAATGTGTATTTATATAGCGCATTTATTGTGTATGGCCATACACTCAAAGTGCTTGACAATCATGAGGGGGGTCTCTCCACACCACCACCAGTGTGCAGCATCCACTTGGATGATGCGACGACAGCCACAGGACAACAGCGCCAGTGCGCTCACCACACACCAGCTATTGGTGGAATGGAGAGACAGTGATAGAGCCAATTCGGTGGAGAGGGGATGATTGGGAGGCCATGATCGTAAGGGCCGATAGAGGGACTTTGGCCAGGACACCAGGGTTACACCCCTGCTCTTTCACGAGAAGTGCCATGGCACTTTTAATGACCACAGAGAGTCAGGACCTCGGTTTAACGTCTCATCCGAAAGACGTTAAACAATCAAATGAAATCAAGGATTTATTATACTATAGAGAGCTGACTCTTCTCCTTTTGATGGGCATTATTTCTTTTGGGTTGTGCAGTTTAATCAATGCTGGCTTGTAGGCAGGGCTGGAGCAAGCTGAACTGCCGCTCTAGGCAGAGGACGATCACGCCGCCCTCAACCCCAATATGCGAAAACAAAAGTGACCGGTTATGAAAAGGAAGTGAGGTGTCGCGGACCTCTATTCTGCCGCCCTATGCGCAGATATAACTGAGGACGTGCGGGTGCTGAGGGTGGGAGGGAGGTGTCGCGGACGCTGCCCTCTCTATTCTGTCCCCTTATGCACGGATATAACTGAGGACGTGCGGGTGCTGATGGAGTTGTCGCTGACACCGCCCTCTCTATTCTGTCGCCTATGCGCGAATATATCTGAGGTGAGTGAGGGAGGTGTCGCGGACATAACTGAGGACCCGCCTAGGTTGCCTCTGTGGACACGCCGGCCCTGCTTGTAGGGTTGAGGGGCCCTAGGCTCTGGTGGGTGGGGGAGGGGGGTATGGGGTGCTGGGTCACGTAATAGACAGACGTAACCGAGGGCGTGGGTGTTGAGGCAGGTGTCGCGGACGGCGTTCTTTCTATTCTGCCGCACTAGGCGCGGATATAACTTAGGCCGGGGTGGGGGGGGGGTGCTGGGGGGGCTTGGTGGGGGATCTATTCTCTCTGCTGTGGTGGTCATGGAGGAGTGCATGAGACCCCAGTGACAGAAGGGCCAGCCTGTACACCAGCCGGTGACCTCTTTCACTGGGAGCTCCTACGTGATGGACATCCAGCGTTCTCCAGCGCCTTGACTGCAGCTCTGCACAAGACCTTTGGCCATAGGAGAAATGGTCATGCTCAGGGTTTTTCAAAGTCTAAGACAGTGGGCCTCCCTTTTGACACAACTTATCCATTGGCGCCCCCACACACACACACGCGCACACACACACACGCGCACACACACACACACACACACACACACATATATATATACATACACAGTATATATAAAGACACAGACAGATGTCAGACTGTTAACTCACTTTTATCATCATTTGCATGAAAGTGCAATTATTTACAGAGTAATAAGTATTTTAATATAACGTTTTTAAAACTAGGATGATGGTTCAATATGAATAGAACAGATCCAAGAACTGTCCATCCCAGTCAAAACAGTTGAAGTTTAGCGAGTCTCATGCTGTCATTAGCCAAAATATCTTGACAAACCACACATAAAGGTGGTGGTTCATCAGCTGGTCCTGTCCACGTAAATCCTAAACTCAAATACTGATCATCATATCGTCGTCTTTTGGGTTTAAGCCCTGAACTTGAAGGCTTTTGTGGCGAGGGGGCGTGGCCGAGCGCCGTGGGAACGGAGTAAGGCCACCACGTAAGTAGATACACCTGCGGTGCGCACTTACCTCGCATCCCACGGAAGGAGCTCTGGATCATAAAAGGAGGAATGAGGGCAGAGGAAGCCGAGAAAGGACCGGGCCCGGACATATTTTACTTTTGCTTTCAGTTTGACGGCAGTCTCCGTGAGGAGCTGCCGTCCGTTTATTTTGGTTTAGACGGCAGCCTCCGTGAGGAGCTGCCGTCACTGTTATTAATAAATCATTTTAAAACTGCGACGGTTCTCCGCCTCCTTCTTTCCGGCGACCAAAGGGCCGTGAACTTCATTAGAGCTTTGAATCGGGGGGGTCTCAGAAACCGACCCATTGTATTAGCAGGCATATACCTGTATTGGCGGGCTTGACAAACAGAAGCGAATTCACAGCTATGGCCTTCTGGGTAAAAAAAGGTTTTCTTATATTTGAAGTATTATTTTTTTTGCTTTGTTTAATTAAAACGTTTAAATATAATAAAAAATACATATAATAATTAAACTTAATAATTATATTTTATTATATTATATTTTTTCCCGCACCTCCCCTGACATGCTCTGGCGCCCCCCAGGGGAGGCGCGCCTCACACTTTGAAAACCCCTGGTCTAGCTCAACTGAGCCTGATTTCTCTCAAGTTTCTTTTCCTTCACTATTTTTATTATCTGGCTAAGGCATAAAACAAAAAAATGTTCATCCAGTTAAATAGAGTTGGACCGACATCTCTCATAATTCAGATGAGTAGCCCAATCTGTCTGTCAGCAAATACAGATTTGCGCGCGCGATCGGTAAAAACTTGCTAAATCAAAACTTTTTAAAAACCTGAATCAATATTGGAGTTACCTTTGCACGCTGGAGAAAGGATGACAATAGCTGAGGGATTTCTCTTAGACGGGTAATGTTCTGTTTTAAAACCGTTTTAGCTTCACGCAAAGCTGATGTAACGTTAGATGTAGTTGTTACAAACGGGTTATATCTTCACAGAAGTGTTGTTCAGCCACTAAAATCTTCCGATGAAAGATTGATAAGACTATTCTCAGTTTCATCAAATTTTACAGCATCTATAATGTAGATTTTAATTACCGTAGTTTAACAACAAAACACAAGTAAATATTCCGCCTAGTCTCTCCCTATCTTGTTTACCATGCAACTCTAAATATTCACTCTGAAATAGCATGTCAGTTTGGCTTTCTCGCCGCCGGACAAGCACTAGTCGCTTTAAACACATGAGAGAGGGTTCTTTTGCTGTGCTCGTATTTAAGGAGGCGTGGCTCTAGACGGCAGGGGAGGGACTGTGATTCAGAGATTTATGCTAAGCTGTTAGCATGGTGGAAAATCACCTACTGCACCTTTAAATAACTCGTTAACAGTGTAACTAACGCAATAAATAAGAACTAAGGGCAGGATTATTGATGTGCAAAGAAAATCTAATCTGGTGTAAATCCCTCTTGCTCTTTGGCTGTTGCGGTCAGTGTGAGTGAAAAAAAGGACAGATCATCACTCATTCTGTCCATACACACACACACACACGTGCAATAAATCCACACACTCAGGATCTGCTCATAAAAATGCTAATTTATGTTGTAGTGTATAAGTGAAGCCAGTTAGGTGTGCACGATCTCCACCAATGGACACACAGAAATGCATCTCCTTCTATCTTTCAGCGCTACATTCTTCTCTATATGAGCAGTGTGCGTGTGTGTGTTATCTTCTCCTGCAGACGTGACGGGCCGCCGTGGTCATCCATTACCGTCTGACAGCTCTGAACACTGCAGCTCGCTAACGCTTTGTAGTGCTTTATACCACAGTCAGCAAAAGAGCCGCGCTCACAAACTGAATGAATATTATTAGAAATAAATGCACAGCTTGTGCACCACAAATACCGTCTGAATTATTAATGACGCCATTCATTTGTAAGACTTTATAGGGGCACTGATTGAAAAACTCCCTGGAGTATATGAAATAAAAACCCCGGAGCATTACTGGGGGGTTATTGCAAGAATTAGTTATTACAAGAACTAGTAAACTGAAATGAGTATCAGTAAGCTTACTGTATGATTTAAAGGTTAAATATATGAAAAATTATAAAAACAATTATAAATATAGCTGCAAGCAGCAATTAAGGGGCCAAACACTTTTGGCCAAAAGGTGGCGCTGCTCCAGAAGTTTTTGAGTACTTTCAGGGCATGGGGTTGAAGATGCATACCATGTTTTCTAATGATAAGTGAATATGTTGGTAAAATATAGCAGTTTAGGCCAAAAATCGAAATTCATGACGGTAAATGACGTCATAGGGTGCGTTTGAATCGGACTGAGCCAGGGAATCAGAGAAAAAAGTAATTTTGATTGTGGTCCATTCGGTTCAAAAGTTATGATGATAAACATACATGAACGTTTGGACAAGTGGTGTCGCTAGACAGTTTGATTTTGAGACTTCATGTTTGGACTGATTAATGTTAAGACTGTCCTCTATCATTGTGCCAGATGCATACCATGTTTTGTAATGATATGTGAATATGTTGGGGAAAATATAGCATTTTTGGGCAAAGATCGAAATGGGTGACGCCCAAAATGGCTGACCTGTAAAAATCAGACATCATTCGACTCGATATGCTCTGCCGAATGTAATGAGACCCGTTTTATGAGTTTCGGACGAAAGGTTGAGACGTTATAAGCCAAAAATCAAGTTTTTTGTATCTCCGGACCACTAGGGGGAAGTGCGCCAAAACTCCGGATATAACCTCAGACCCTATAGTTGTTATAACACACACCAAGTTTGGTGTGAATCGGGGAATGCGTTACGGAGATATCGCCTCAAGTCCATTTTCGCAAGTTCTTTGTTAAATTTGATCGCAAGTTAAACAAAAACGGTTGGTCTAATCAACTTGAATTCCATAACTTTTGGTTGGCATGGTTTGTAGATCATGTGATTCAATTTTGGTGAAAATCAGAGAAAGGGCCTTGGACG